ACGTGCCACGATTTATGGAAACGTACGGGCTACTAAAGGAGCACCCAAATTCATCTGACTAGAAACGTTTCTACTCTATTTTTTTCCACGGCCGATAGCTGGGCCAAGTACTGGTGGTTTAAAGGTGTAAACGGTGAAGCACAAATGAAAGTGGTTTTGTCGCCATAGCGTGGAAAGCAACTGGGGATGAGCCTGAGTCTTTCCACCTGAACCATGTGGAGCGGATGGGAGGCAAGCCTTTGAGCAGGCTGAGATGAGCCTGAGTATTTCCACCATGGGCCAGTGTGGAGCGGAAGGGAGACAAGCCTGCCCATAGGGCATGCATAGATAACTGTTATAGCAATTTCCTTAAAACGGACATATTTTATTTTTTGAACGAAATTGAAAACTCATAAATTGCGCCGATGTAGGTCTATATTTTCAGCTCCTGAGGGTACAACGTTTTAAAAACGCCCTTCCCCCTGGATGCAAGCCAAGTCCAGATACATCCAGGGGGTTTGGCATTTTCATAACACCGTACCCCCTGGAATCCAGCTAAGGCCAGATACATCGAAGCGGTCTGCCTGACCCTCAAGAGCTTGAAATTTCCACCTAAATGTGGGCTTGAAATTTCCACCTAAATCGGGGTAGTGTATGCGGTTTCAATTTCCTTCAAAACATAAAGGGGTAATTTCAGTAGAGTCACAAAAAAGAGTTATAATTTATAATTGCACTATCAGGCAAGATACAGTTTGCAATTGCACTTGGGGCACCTTACCTGGCCAGAAAGCTAGCTTGTATACATTGCCCGATCTGCAATTCCAAACTGTATCTTGGCCCATACTGCAATTATTAGTTATATATATATATACATATATATATATATATAGATATAGATATATATATACATATATATATATATATCGTCACAAACAGAACTGCCCGATAACCATAGGCAGAGAGAGAGAAGAGGACAACAAACGAGGGGCTGTGACAAATATATATATATATTAAGGGTGACGGCCTTGAGATATCATCATTGAGCTGACCGGCCCCAGGGAATTCAGAAATATTTGGTCTTACTCATCTGTGACGCGCAACCTCACGTCCTGTACTGTCTTTCGTTCGGAGTGTTAATTGTGCGGAAAGAGGCCCAAAAAAACAGCAAGATGGGGTGTGCCAAGGATTTTTGGAAATTGAGTGTGGGGACACAGACGGAACTGAAATCCCCCG